GTGAGTGTGTGTGAGTGTGAGTGTGTGTGTGTGTGTGTGTGTGTGTGTGTGTGTGTGTGTGTGTGAGTGAGTGAGTGTGAGTGTGAGTGTGTGTGTGTGTTCATATCCTGTCAGATCAGACAGTGAGAGCAGCAGAACGGCGCACAGGATTCACAAAGATCCGCAGATCTTCAGGGGTCGATGCGCGTGTGTGACGTCTGAGAGACTTATATGACACACACGAGCTCTGAGCGATGACAGGGAAGCTCGTGTGACTGGAGGTGGACAGCCAATCACATGTAAAGATGGAACGGTAGAGGTCAGAGGTCAGATACCTGATGTAAAAATCTAAATACAAACTCCTCTTCCTTGGAATGCAAACAAAAGATGAGAAGAAAACGAGTGCAGAAGTGTTATTAATATATAATAATGAGTCAGTCAGAGGATGTGCAGACATCAGCTCCTATGAACTAGATTAAAATAGGAAATATTATATTAAAACAAGCACAATATCTCATCACTCAGAATCAAATGCATGCAAATGCATGTTTGGTTTTTATCCATCAAATTGATTGCATTAACTCTTGTTCTTGATAATGGTTTTATTTGCTGAACAAAATGAATGAGGCAAGTGTTAACTCAAATCAGGCGTGTGTGTGTGTGTGTGTGTGTGTGTGTGCGTCACTAGAGGGAGTCAGCGCTGCTGGATTGAGTTTGTGAGTGAAGCTCAACCTGGCTCTTGTTAGCGGATGAACTCCAGCCTCACCTTAGTACCTGAGCAGTTCGAGTTTGTAGAACTTATTAATAACCTTTGTTTTAATCATGTTTTTAAACACTCATTTTGTTTGCACATTTTCACATCTGCCTCTGTAAAGCCTGACATGAAATAATAGTCAGAAAAATCTATTTTATTGAAATGGAACAGTTTATTGACAATTTACACAAAATATTTTTTAAATCCCCCTCCCCCCAAAAAAGGTTGCATGTTTTATGTTGAGTATCATATTTGATCTGTCAGGCTTTTATAGCTCGTATAGTCTGATACAGTGAGAATATGGAGGAAAAAACAGCTCGATTTTATTCAGCGAATTAAACAGAGCAAAAATATGAATTTGCTGCAGATGCTGATATTTATCTGATGAAGTTCTGCTGCTTGTGATGTAAATCAGTGAGATCTGTATAACAGTACAGCAGATACTGATATAAAATGATCTAAATATCAGTGGTTGCTCTATATCTGCAGTAATCTGTCTCAGTAAGATGAGATTGAAATGATCCAAACATATAATGCAGTGATTGAGAGCTGAAGAAATAAAGGCTCCTCAGAAGATCTGAGATGTTCTGGAGGCTTGTGAAGATCATTCCTCCGCTGAGGAACAGTGAAAGTAAAGCTTCTGGAAACAAACGCTCCTCAAAAGATCCTGAGGATCAGATTTGAGACTAAAACATGATTGATGGAGAATCAAGTAAAGAAAAAAGGGGTATTTATAAGAGTATAGAATAACCCTTGTGAAGATCATTCCTCCGCTGAGGAACAGTGAAAGTAAAGCTTCTGGAAACAAACGCTCCTCAAAAGATCCTGAGGATCAGATTTGAGACGCAGTGATTTTTCTACAAAATGATTCACAGAGAATCAAGTAAAGCTAAATCTGAGCTACTTCCTGAAGGATCGTTTGAACACACACACACACACAAACGTACCTCTTCTGTCTGTAGGTGAGCATGGCTTCAGAGATGGGAAACTGATGAGACACATTCGCTCCAGCCAGATACTGGATGATCCGTCCAGCTACATCAACAGTGTCTGTGGAGAGAGACAGACAGACGGTCAGACAGACAGACAGAGAGACGGACAGACAGACAGGCAGAGAGACGGACAGACAGAGAGACAGAGAGACGGACAGATGGACAGAGAGACAGACAGACGGTCAGACAGACAGACAGAGAGACGGACAGACAGACAGAGAGACGGACAGACAGACAGGCAGAGAGACGGACAGACAGAGAGACAGAGAGACGGACAGATGGACAGAGAGACAGACAGACGGTCAGACAGACAGACAGAGAGACGGACAGACAGACAGAGAGACGGACAGACAGACAGGCAGAGAGACGGACAGACAGAGAGACAGAGAGACGGACAGATGGACAGAGAGACAGACAGACGGTCAGACAGACAGACAGACAGACAGAGAGACACACAGACAGACAGAGAGACACACAGACAGAGAGACACACAGACAGAGAGACAGATAGACGGACAGAGAGAGAGACAGAAAGAGAGAAGGACAGAGAGACCGACGGACAGACAGACAGAAAGAGAGACAGACAGACGGTCAGAGAGACAGACAGTCAGATGGACAGTCAGTAGTTAATGTCACGACTCCGCTGCAGTTTGATCTCCATATGAACATCAGAGTCACACTCGTGTAAATGAGCGCAAGACGAGTCGGTGGGAGAATAAGGGCAAATGTGAGAATGAGTGAGGTCTGAAGAGAAATGAGTCTAATGTGAGACAGATGCAGGTGAAACAGACACTCACACATCTGTCAGTCCCTGAATATCTTCCCCTCACTGAGCTCTCACTAACAAACACATCCGAGAGGCTCATTTACGCTTCATTAACATCACACACATCAGTCAGTACCTGCGCTGGGAGTCTCTGACCGGCAGAACAGCTCCCTCCATGACGGGTCCATGAACATACTGTTGAACTTACTGTCGAATGTCGACACGTACTTGGCCAGAGGATGGGAACCTGCGAGACAGACACGGATAGCGTGTAAAACTCACCGGACACATAATAAAGCAGCATTATGGGCTCACGATCAGCGTCAGCACTCACCGATGGGGATGATGAGGAAGCGGATGTAGCTCAGCCAATCAGGCGTCTTATTGGCCAGTTGCTCTACAAAGAAGCGCAGCACTGTACTGAGATAGCTCTGATCACCCGCCACCGCCACCTTCACAGTGGGCGGAGTCTGAGCGTTACAGTTACAGCTGTGGGAGGAGTCACAGGACACAATCAAACACTCAACTATAATGATGATAACTTTAAAAATGTAACAATATTAACTATGTTGATAAATTCAGCAATAATGATAACTATAATTGTATACAGACCAATGGACGATAACATTGTTTATTATTAACACGCTGCAGTTTTGTCATCTGCTGCTTGAGCTCTTTAAAGCAGGATGGATTCTGATTGGCTGATGGTTCAGTGAGCGTTATGAGGATCACATCACACTGACAACTGCAGACGCTCAAGAGACAAATGATAATGAACCGCTGCGACGATCAGAGACGCTTTCAGAAGCACAGTATTTATAGAAGTGTGTGTGTGTGTGTGTGCGTGCGTGTGTGCGTGTGTGTGTGTGTGTGTGTGTGTGTGTGTGCGGGTGAGCGCGTGTGTGTGTGT